GCTTCTTCCTGGCTGCTGTGGACACTGCATGCCATGTCTGGTGAGGAACGTCACCAGGGAAAAGGAGAAAAGGGACCGATGGACCATGACGAGCCGCCGTCGTACCGTACACGTGTGGAGGCGTCTGTGGAGTTGATGGCGTTGCGCGTCAAACCCGTCCATCTCCTCGGGGAGGTGCTGAAGGCGTTGCGTGGCTGCCTATACGACATGCGAGGGGTGCGCAATGTGATGGACGCCCCGCAGCCCACCTCGGACCCCGGCGAGGCACACAAACTGCTGCTGCTGGACCCACAAGTAATTCCTCCCCCATCGCCTGCTGCAAAGAACGCCTCGACGGCACCAACACAACCCCTTTGGGTGGAGGCGAACCACGCGTCGGTGCCGCCTGTCGTGCGGGAGCGACTGCAGTCATTCCTGCTGGGCAAACGGTCCGTCGCGCAGAGTCTTCGTGTGGCGGTGGCCCAACACATTGTGCGACTGAGCCACAGAAACTTCACGATGCCGGAGCTTCTGCAGCGTATTCTTCCGCCGGGGACAATTCCGCTAAGCGGCTTTGAGCAGGTGGGCCACATAGCGCACGTCAACCTCTCTGCCGCCCACCTGCCGTATCGCGCGGACATTGGCGCCGTCATTTTGGACTGCAACCCCACCGTGCGTGTCGTTGTGAACAAAGTGGACAACATCGCAAGCGTGTTTCGCGAGTTCAAGATGGAAGTCATTGCGAGGCGCACCACCCACTCCGACATGAAGGGAAGTCCGGCGGAAGAAAATAGTGGAGACGAGGAGAAACTGCACCGCCTTCTGTTGGCGACTGTACGACAACATGGCTGCATCTTTCGCGTTCCGTACGATCGCGTTTATTGGAACTCGCGACTTAGCCACGAGCACGCGCGGGTTGTTGGCATGATGCAGAGCGGGGATATGCTTTATGACGCCATGGCGGGTGTTGGGCCCTTCGCCATACCCGCTGCCGTGGCCGGCGTTAAAACTTACGCGAATGATCTGAACCCCGTTGCAGCGGAGTATCTGCGCATCAATGCGGAGCTCAATCACATCAACAAAGATACATTTCATGTATTCAACATGGACGGCCGTGAGTTCCTGAATACAGTTCTCTACCGTGACGTAGTGAGTGGGGCGGCGGTGTGTGGACGACGCCACGTGACGATGAATCTTCCAGCCATGGCGGTGGAGTTTTTGGATGTATTCACTAAGCCGCCCTGGTCACAACCGCTGGTGTCGTTATCATTATTGGAGGAGAAGGAGAAGGCTAAAGAAGGCAAAGAAAAAGAGGAACATGTGGAGATGCATCCAGACAAGCGAGTGCTCTTTCATGTTTACTGCTTTTCAAAGAATATGGATGATTTTTTGGGTGATGCCGTCAAGCAGGTGGAGCGGTGGTTGGCCTTCAGCTTGGCGGGGGAAAACCTGGAGGCAGTGCACATGGTGCGGGATGTGGCGCCGTTGAAGCGCATGGTTTGTGTGAGTTTTACTCTTCCGGAGGCATTTTGGCTCCACCGTGAGGCCAAAGGGATGTCACCACTCAAGCGAGCCCGCAGTGATTGAGACATTGATGCCTTTGTGTGTGTGTGTGTGTGTTTGCCTATACTTCTCCGGTACTTTTTGGCCCTATGCATGCGTGGACGTCTTGCAAGGAGGCGCTTTGTTCCCTTCTAATCGCCATTAATCCGCGACGCACGCATGGCCTTTGGTGTCCACAACATAAATATATAATTTTTGTCTACTTTCTACCTGACGGGCATCATTTTTGTAGACCGCTTTATACATCTTCTACGGTTGCCTTTTTCTTTTTTCTCTTTTTCTTTTTTTTTTTTTTTCAACTTAGGCTTCCATCTCTTGTGTTTCTCGGAGAGGGGGAGGAGGAGGAGGACGGCGTGCGTGGCAAGATGGGCAACGATGAGATCTTTGAGGATCTTTTTATTTCCGACACGGAGCCCGAGGAACTTTACGAGGAGCTTGGCCCCATTGGCGTCGGCAACTACGGGTCCGTCATAAAAGCCCGCAACCGACAGACGCAGGCGATTGCGGCCATTAAGCTCGTACTTCTTGTTGACAAGGACGAGCGTGACTTTGTGCAGAAGGAAATCAGCATCCTGAAGAAGTGCGTTCACCCTAATATTGTGCGATATTACGGAGCTCACAAGTCGCTTAGCAAGCTGTGGATTGTCATGGAGTACTGTGAAGGCGGGTCGGTGGATATGGTGTACAAAGTGTTGCGGCATCCGCTGCCGGAGAACCTCATCGCGTACGTCTGTCGTCAGGTGCTGCTTGGGCTTCAGTACCTGCACGCGAACCGAAAAATTCATCGTGATATCAAAGGTGGCAACATTTTGCTCACTCGTGATGGTGACGTGAAGCTGGCAGACTTTGGCGTTAGCACGGAACTTTCCCATTCCCTGTCACGGCGGAATACATTTGTTGGGACGCTGCTTTGGATGTCCCCCGAGGCGATTCTTGAGCTGGACTACGATGAGAAGGCGGATTTGTGGAGTTTAGGCATCACACTGATTGAGATGGCAGAGGGGGCACCGCCGTATATTGATACGCATCCCGCCCGAGCACTTTTCATGATCCCAAAGGTGGATCCCCCAACGTTGCATGACAAGGATCGGTGGTCACCGCAGATGGCCCTCTTCTTGAAGCGGTTGCTGATAAAAGACTATCGCCTGCGACCCACCGCGACAGCCATGCTCAACGACCCATTTGTGGCACCGGAGAAAATTGGAACAAAGGAACAAATGAAAGCGGTCATTGATGAGGTGCTTGCGAAGAAGGAGGCGATGAGCCCACAACGGCTACACGGTGAGACGAATTCCAGTGCGACGTTTGTTGAGCGTACATCTACGGACACTGACGGGGAAGACGGGGTTACCAACGACACCTGCACCAGCGGGAGAGCGCCCACTGGCGCGAAGGTCCCTGCTAATACTTCTCCCGTGGCTATGGAGGCAATGGACATCACTGGAGCACATCTTTTTTTTCACGACGGTACATTGCTGCCGTTACCAATGCTCTCTACACATGACATTGGGTTTGATGAGCTGGGGCTTGGCCGAGAGGGAATTGGACCGTTTGCCAAGCCAGTGCCTGACGCCGAATCATTACTTGTTCCACCAGAACAACGTTCAACGGCCTTACACGGCAGTGGCGGGCTTGCGTACACCATGCATGTCACTCAGACGCTCAAGTCAATGTTGTATTACCACAAACAGTTACCGTTTTTCCGAGAGGTGACGGATGCGGAGGCGATCAAGTCCAAAGAACTCCAGCTGAAGTATGGCTCTATTTTGAAGAGCATCTATCGCCTGTAAAGGGAGTCAAGACGGCGAGAAAAAGTCTTTTACACTGGACAGCACAACGCCTAACATTGGTGATGATGATGATACTGTTAGTGGAGGGTTCGATGGACCGAGACGAATGGCGGGTGATGTGTAGATTATAGGAGCAGAAGAAGAAGTGGGATGTGTGTGGCGACACCAGAAATGACGGCGGGTGATGATTTGTGGTGTTTGTTTCTTTCACATCCGTGTTTTTATTCCTTTTTTTTATTTTTTTTTGGTTGTTTGCCTCACAATCCCAATATGCCGTCTCCCATGTGTCTCTGTTTTTTTTCCGCGCTGTTGTCTGCGATGACTGTTGTTCCATTTTGAACCATCCAATGCGTATGCAACGCTGACTCATTTTCCACCGCCGTTAACAGCAGCCCTTCTTTCTCTTTCCATGTTTGTTGGTTTTGTGTTGCATGGCGCTTGTTTTATTCCTGGAGTATTATTATTATTAATTGTTTCTTTTTTTTCTTTTGCTTCTCTGCCATTTTTTGCGGCACAATCCGCCCACTACTCACCATCCGTTTTGGCTGGAGGAGCAGAGAAAAGGAAATAAATATCGCTTGAACAGCACGGAGGGGGGAGGAGTTAAATTGGTGTGCGCCTGCAAACAGCACAGCATGATGAGCGGCCTGACGTCTTCCTCGCGGGAGGAGCTGCTGCGGTTGGATGAGCAGCGAGCGGCAGTTATGAGGCAGATAGAGGAGGCGATGGCGTTTCTCAACACAACACCGGTGGGATTGAATGGTCCTCTCGTTGACGGGGAGGGCTTCCCGCGTAATGACTGTGACTTGTATGCCGTACGTCGAGCTCGGCAGGCGGTGATCTGCGGGAGAAACGATCTCAAGGCATTGGAGAATTCCATGCACGAAAAGCTTGCCTTGTTGCACGAGGAAAACCAGGAGGAGGCAACGAAACAGATGGAAAGAGATAACGAGGCGCGGCGGAAAGGCAAATCTGACGCTTTGCAACGTGAGCA